TAGTAGTAGTAGTAGTAGTGCTGGTAGTAGTAGTAGTGGTGGTAGTAGTAGTAGTAGTAGTAGCAGCAACAGTAGTAGTCCTGGTCTTGCGCAGGACATGTGGAATTCCTTGGACTTCCTCGTCGTCGCCGTGGCCAAGCTGCATTTGTTCGGCCAGGAAACGTCAGTATTGAAAGGTCATCTGTAACCACTACACTGTGACGATCACGGCACAAGCTGGGACCCCACGGCCGTTCACCCGTCCACAACAGGTCGGATCGCACCAAGCCTCACACCCGACTTATAGACTCCATTGTTTTCTGCCCATGGGTCACGTTATAGGATCCAACTATAAATCCGGCGTTTCCCAAAAAAGGAACCCCTAGACCACGAAAGTCCCAAATCTCTACCGAGGTCTGGTATCTCGAAACAAGCACGACATCGGAGTCCTTGCCTATTGACCCGTCACTTGGTTGCCTGTGTGTTTCAAGCTTAGTCTTGGTTCATGGCGGGCTTCGGGGCATGCTGCTGACACAGGATGTGGAATTTGGGGGTTGGTACTTGTATGGGTGCTTATGGTAACAGTGATGGATTGGGGAACCCGAAAAAAAGTCCGAAATTACAAAGCCACTGACAGTTTCAGTCATGCAGCTGGGGCTTGAATGGACAGTGTGATAGTCGAATTCAGCCGCAACTAATAACACAAAGGAAGGAGCCAACCTTATTTTCAAAACTTTGCAGTCCGATGTCAGCAAAAGCTTCATCTACTTCAAAACCAATCCTTTCCCCACGGTCGCCGCCGGAAGAGCTACTGCGGTTCTAATATGGAAGCCCACATAGTCAGAAATGCTATCCCGTAGACCACTAATTGTATGTATGGTTTCAAAAGAACCACAATAGGCCTCTTGCCAAGGATGGTCTTGAGACTTTTCCGACTGGTAAAGCTTGGCCGGGTGGTTCCTCGGATGCAGGATTCTAGTAGAGAGGTCGGCGCCTTTGAGTTTGGAAAACTTGGAGATTCGAATCTGCTGCTGCCGGTGTGGGTGCGTGCGTGATCTAGTGGATGCAGAAACTTGCTGGCTTTGTAATGCTCAGAGTTGGTGAAGTTTTTTTTCAAATCGGTACATCTCTAGATGAAAGGCAGCTCAGCGCTTGTAGGGCCGTAAAACAGAAGCCGTAATAATTACCAACATTAATCCTGAAGGTTTCTGTTCATGTTCTGCTATAATATACCACAGGCCCTGTTGTGATAATTAAGGCTCCCTATAGTCAGGCCGTGCGGCCTAAAGGCTCTGGCAGATGCAGCATTGCGAACATGTCCATCTCGCCGTCCAACTGCGAAACCTAAACCACAACCCGGAGGGTTCCGAGAGCTGGAGCCCGAAACGGTCCACGACAAAGGGGCTCGCAACCGATCCACTCCTTCAGGAAGTAGAGCTTTTTGCAGCAACATCTAAGTTGACATTCTGGCAGAAATCCAAAACAGGAACCCGACATGTTGGAGAGAGCACGTCGTTCAGAAGTCCTGTTTAGGCTTTGAACGTGCCTACATGGTTAGGCATAGTTCGAACTATTTGGTTGTCAAGCATCCCACCATACTAGCATTTGCCACGTTCACGCAATCTACGAGCTTCTCAGCCAGTCGGTTGGAGAGTAGCTCCCAAACCTCAACCCACCAGCACCTACTTTTTTGTAGGGTCCGTATATATTCCATATGAGGGTTTATAATAAGAACCTACAAACAAGTAGGGTGTGGCATTTCAAGGTACACGAAGCTCGAAAGCCCAAGCCTTTCAAACCTTGAGCCCTAAGCTCTTCACCCCTCGACCACCAATCCCTAAACCAAGTCTTAAACCCCAAACCCTGGCACCAGTCTTGCGGTCGGAAAAAGGAGTTCAAAAAACAAAAAAAAACCTGAAAACCCTGAGCTTGTCTGCTCTGGACCTCAGGTGAGGCTAGTGCGAATCCTCGAAAAGTACGATGCACTCTACTTGTGCCTTGCTGCATTGGACCTCGGGTCATGCAGAGGCTTTCGGGGCTTTGGGGGCTTTGGGGGCTGATTATATTAGGAACTCCTTATCTCTTTTGGGAGTTCATGGCTTTGGCTTTCGGGTTTGTCGTGTTCCTGGAGCCATCCGCTACGTTTTTGTTGGTACTGAGTACGGTTTACATAGGGTTCAGGGTTGTAGAGACCCCTAAAAAATCAAGGATGTCCTGAATCCGAACCCAGAAAGGCCCAACAACACCAAGGATGCTCACCTCCATCAAGGGCAGTATGGCCGCTCTGGCTTGGTCCAGCATCCTTCTACTCGTGGCCCCTTGGTGATGGGTGGGCAGGGTTTAGGGTTTAGGGTTTAGGGTACGCTTACGGTCATTGCTTGGTCTATCGGGGCTGTCCATTACAGAGCCGCATGAGGGTTGCATGAACTTATTGGCTGTGTTGGGTTTTGGTAGGGTGGTGCGTGCTATTTAGGGTCTTTCGGTATGCGTTTTTTGGGCTGCGCAGTTTGGGAAACTGAAGGTCTGGAGAAGTTGCAGTTGTATACAAGTTGGTGCAAAGGTCTCCCCATGAATAAGCAAAGGCCTTCGCTCGTCAGGCTTGAAGACACAAATCCCTGTGTTTTGGAGTGCTGCCTACCTTGCAAGAACATGGTGAAGTTCAGGGCTCAGGAAAAATCACCGACATGATTCTGCTATGCCACTTTGCCGCGTGGGATTTTCGCATGCTCTCACCCTGCCACCAGGTGCAAATGATGCTGTCCCTCGTCATGGCCACTGTCCTGGAGGCCGCCTGCCACGAGCATGAGGGATTTTGGATCGAGATGTGCACACAAAAGCTTCAATGAGCCGGCCAAGGCATATTTTTTGGACGACAACTGGCCGGGAGACAAGCTGAAGGTGGAGAGGGTTCAGTGACAGTGTCTCTGAGGCTTGATGTGTGTGGTCTAGGCTGGCTGAACTGATGTGACCGATTGTTCAACGACGGGTGCAGAACCGGTGCCCAAAGTCCGACAGCATGTTCCCGTGCTGTCCGAGCAGTGAAGCTACTAGCCGGGTGTCGGCATTGCGGATGTGCTTGGTGTAGCCGCGGAGTTTTCGTCCCTTGAAAACAACATGTTTAAGCACAAAACGCCCAATGATCGGAATGCATTGCGCTGTCGGAAAGCATGGTACGGGGTAGGTTCACCCCTACAAGACTGCTGCCGAACATGGCCACCATGAAGGATTATGTCATTGCTGCAACCTCTACAGACCCAAATCCCGCACGAAATATCGGGCTTCGGTACACTAGAGCCTAGATTTCAAGCCCGAATCCCCAATCATAGTGTCCGAAATCGATCTGACAAGGTCTACGACTACTATGGCACGTTCTCGCGGTCGATGCTTACGTAGCCCAGCCAATGTCAGAGCTTTTCGACTTCTGGTTTAGGGCCGAGTATGCATGCGCCTGCCAGGGTTTGCAGCTGTGTACCATCTGAAACTTAAGCAGGGCTGGAAGAGCCCCGAACTAGTTTGGTAGTTTCGGGTTCGGGGGCGATTTAGTAGCAAGGGTCTGACCAAGACACAACAATGACATAAGTACAGCAACAACTACAATCTTTAGTAGCAGCAGCCAGGGCTTCGGACAGGTTGGGTTCAGGCACGGCATGACAGTTCAACCGAGGCCCATGCGCCAAACTCCGAAGTCCTGATGTAAACCTTGAACCCAACACCCCAGACCCAAGGACCCCGAATCCCAAAACCCAAGCCCAACTTAAGCAGTCAACTCTGACCTCCCTGAGCTCGACTCGTTGCCGTTTCATTTTATTTTCATTGTCCTGGCCAAGGATGTTTGAGATCACGCTGGCCAACTTCATCCCTGCCCGTGCCTCAGTTCGGTGCATGCCCGCAGAGACGAGCCCAAGAGCACTGAATAGGTCCCTAAACCCTAAACCCTAAACCCTAAACCCTAAACCCTAAACCCTGTCACAAGGTTGGTAAGCGAAGGCTGTAAGACCCCTAAAGCCTTCAGACCCTAAGGTCTTGAGAAGCACGGGCTTCAAGACCCCTAAACCCCCTAAACCCCTAAACCCCAAGCCCCTAAAGCCCTAAACTCTCCAGACTTCTTTCAATCCGGCTCGCTGAGATCTCGCAAACTTTTCTGAAATACATGGAATTATGGAATATTAGCCATCACACGACGACGCCCATCACAACCCTGAACCCCTAAACCCTGAACCCTAATCCCCCCCCCGAAAGCAGCCGTGCAAAGTTGCTTGGGCGAAGGTGACCAGGGTGATGGTCACGAACTTCAGCCAGGCAGGGCAGCTTCGATGTAAAAGCCCTGGAGCCCTCAGGTGAGGGTTCAGAGTTTAGGATTTATGGGGGGTTTAGGGTTTAGGTTCCAGGGTTTTGGGTTTTGGGCCCCCGATCAGTTTCCACCGATTCCAAAGGCCCTACACCCTACCATTTTCAAGAGGTCGCAGCCCCAAAAGCGCGAACGCGAAGGCCCAGACCCTCGGGATTTCAGGGCAGGGTCAGCACACCCAAGAGATACAGAGCAGAACGCAGCACGAGATGAGCACCATGTGGAGGGGCGTGCTGTAGCACGCTAGGAATGCGAAACTATTCGACACGGAATGCTGGCGATCAAGGCACGGTGGCAAGTTCCAGCCCGAGTTTCGCGGTCGTGGTGCGTTTGGTGTGTCCCAGAACCGTAAACCAGGGATCGGAAGTGCAGTTTTGTGTTCTCGAAGGCTTATTTAAGTCCTTTGCCCCACCAGCTTCAGAAATCGGATCGATATGGTTGTCTTTCGAAAGCAACAGCGAGGGTGGCGATAGATCCCGAAACCCTTTGCACTGGCGTTTCGTGGCTTACCAAGCATGCAGCACCAAGCAGCAGTACTCTGGGAGAAGAGGGGGTAAGAGGGGAGCAGCCTAAAGCCTAAACCTTACCGCCCGACGGCCACAATCCGGTCCTCATCAGGGCCCTCGCCGAGTGCGAGGGTTGGGGCTTACCGCGTTTCGAGCTGCCGGGTCATGCATGGCTGAGTCGGGCTCGGAGTTCGTGGTCCAGGTGGCACTCCAAACTCTGTTTCGGGGTTCAGGCTTACGTGAGTACAGATGCCGAGATGCTCATAAGCATCAGCAGAGTAATAAAAGGGCTTAAATAATTGACTATACTATTTTGGGGTTCCTTATTCGAACTATAGTATAATATACCCAAAACCCTATTCTAATTATTATGGCCCCTCTATTACCTACACTACAGTGCACTGGCAGGCCTACCTTATCTTCGGCTTGATGCACAAATTCTTTATTGGCCGATTCCTCAGCCGTGGGCTTTTTGGGGGCGGTGTCGCCCAGCTACGAAGCCCTGGCCGTGTTGAAGGGTCCGCCTTTTTCAGGGTTACGGTGCGACCGGACCATGGTGACGAGCTTGCATGCTTCTCTAGTATAGGGGCCTTAATAATTGGAATAGGGTTTGGGGTATATATATATATATATATGTATAATACTAGAATTATTTTGAGGAACCCCACAAACCCTATTCTAATTATTCAGGCCTCCTCTACATTATTTATTATTGCCGAGAGCTTGGAACCGTTCACCCTGAGTCTTCAGAGCTTTCAGTAGCAATGCAAGAGCTGGGCCCCACTAGGAGGGATTAGGATCTACGGCTTAGAATTGAGGACCTAGGGATGTGGCGGGGGGCGGGGGGGGGTGTTTCGGCCCTGGTAGGAGAGAGAGCCCGAGCTCAAAGAACCTCAGGGATCCAAAAGAGTCGCAAGAGGTAAGCCGCTGCAGCCGCAGTGTGGTTTAGGGTGTAATGTAGAAGCCTTCATAATTAGAATAGGGTTTTGGAGCCCATTATAGCATAGTTATAATAGGGAACCCCCAAAATAGTATAGGTAATTATTAAGGCCCCTATAGTAGGGCCTTGGGTTTAGGTGTCTTGTCTTGCGCGGAAAGTGCCGCTTGAGCTGCACAGGCTTTGCCGTGGTCATGGTCATCACCGGAGTGTTCATCCAGGTGCCGTGCAATCGGTTGACAGCTTCGGTGGGCTCTGTGGCTCAAGGTCCAGGTTGTTCTGTGGCCAACATGCTTCTGCAAAAGAGGGTTGTTGTTATCGCTCGGGCAAGATGCAGAAGGTTGATCTCTTGGGGTCTAGAAGTGTGCACCTCCAGGGATTTTGGCTTTTCGATCGCTTTGAGGAAAGGTGCAGTTCTCCAAGCACGCAAAGACTGGGATTCATCGTTTCGGATTGAGGGTTCCGGAGTGAGAAAACACGAGTTTAGGATGTATATAGGCTTGTGCAAGTCGGTGATGTTCATGTTGGCCTTATGTGTATTGCTGATGTTACCACCCGCTCCTCTCCTTGGCCCCAAACCGCACGTCTCAGACGGCCCTAAATTCTCAAGAGCTGCTCTAAACCCTAAGCCCCTAAACCCTAGATTCCCTAATTTCCCTAAATGCTCAAGCGCTGCCAAAACCTAAGCAGCAACTGCTTGCATCATGTGACACAAGAGCAGGAGACGATGAAAGTGGCTCAGACGGACAACACCATCATGCTGATGCTTGGCAACATTTCCGTCACGTGGACGGTGCTAGGATCACCGCTCCTGTAGGGGTTGCAACCAGCTTTAGAAACTGTGGGTTTCAAGAAAAGCCCATGTGCATGAAGAGCACAGGAAACTCTGCCTCGAGCAGAGAGCATCCGGATTGCGCAACTTCTGTCAATATTCAGGGTTTAGGGTTTGGGTTTTTTTGTAGCCCCACTCTGGAGCTTGTAATGCCCATCCTTTAGCCGCTTGCTCTTGGCCTTCACGTTAAGCCAACCCCAAGCGTGGCGTAGAGCCACCGCTGCTCAGGACTCAGCGTGAACGATCTTCGAACCTGCACACAAGGCCACCTGTGGAGCACAAGATTCTCTTATGTTGCTCCTGGGTTTCCTGCCGGATAGAGCTGCTTGTAGATAACAGCAGGAAGTCGCTCCAAGACGGACTAACCGACTAACCCTGATAGCTAAATCCTAAACCAGGGAAGCCCAAGCGACTTCTCTCCCACATTGCAGGAAGATCAAGACCTTGTTTGACATGGCAGATTCGGATGGCAGTGGACGTTTGGACATGGAGGAGAGTCTCTCTTGAAGGGCGGCAAAGGTTGGGCTGTGACAGGGGCTTTAGTCTACATATTTGCTAATTACTCCTTCACACACACACACAGACACTCTCTGTCTCTCTCGTCTCTCGCTGTCTCTCGGTCTCCAGTATGTATATACATATATACTATGTATATACATATATAAGTATAACACACAGGTACATACATACATATATACATATATATATGTACATATGTATACGAACATGATAGAGACAGAGTGAGAGAGAGAGAGAGAGAATATTAGACATATTGAAGTACAATTCCGACGCTACATCCAATCATGCTGAAGCTGAGCCCAATCAGACTGCACCGCAGATGAGAATGCGCTGCACAGGCTATATTTATCGGTGTGGCTTCTTTTGCTTCGACAACTCGCGCCCCAGTGCGCCAATTAGACTTTTTCTGCCATGAGATATTGCCATGCGATATACCACACCATGTCGCACTTCATCTGCTGTCAATCGTTTTGGTGCTACGAGGCATCTAATGAGAGTAGTGTTCGCCTTTCGCTTTCTTTGCCGGCAGAGCATGTTTACTGCTGTGCAGATTTCT